GAGGTGAGGGTATCTAATCGTTGATCGATGGAAGAAGTATTTACCTCATTGACTCCTCGGAATGGACTCTTGTCTGTTGCCAAACTGTTGTGCATTAGCGGCCATGTTTGTAATTAGTTCCCTTGCTTGAGTAGGAGTTTTATTCACCAACACACCTCCACTTGCAGCATCGATCATACTCCTATCCATTGGCAATAATCCTTCATAAAAGTATTGGATAAGGAGTTGATCCGGAATTTGATGTTGAGGACAGCTTGCACATAGTTGTTTGAATCTCTCCCAATACTCATAGAGAGTCTCTCCAGTGAATTGTCTTATCCCCACAGATTTCCTTCCTGATATTAGCAGCTCGTGATGCAGGGAAGAACTTCTCGAGAAACAACTTCTTCATCTCATTCCATGTAGTGATAGAACTGGAGGGTAAGTAGTAAAGCCAATCCTTAGCTTTGTCAGCTAGTGAGAAAGGAACGACACACAACTTGAGGTTTCATGCTCAAGCATATTACATGAAATTCTTTTAAGTGTTTATCCTCTTCACCTAAAAGTCCACGGAAAGTAGGGAGTAAGTGGATAAGACTGGATTTCAATTCAAAAGGTACCGTTAGATCTAAATATTCGATGCAGAGTGATTGCTGATTTAGATCCGGTGCAGCTAGCTCTCTAAGAGTTCTTTCGTCGATGTTGGCCATGACTTGTTCTTCAGAGTTGTTAGATGGCTCGACGAGGTTTGTTGCCGATTTCACCCCGGGAGATGGGAGCGATGCCGGTTGGTTACGATATTGCTTGTTTTCTTTCCTCAACTGGCGAACTGTGTTTTCGATCTCGGGATCGTATTGGAGTTCACTTACACGAGAAGAACGGGGCATAAACCAAGCAAAAGGAAATAAATCTTATTAAAGACACCAATCCCCGGCAATGGCGCCAAAATTTGGTGGGTGTCGAATCCAACCAAAAATAAAAATACTGCTCGAATTAAATATTTTTGTAGATAGTGATGAGCAAGGTCGTCTCCACAGGGATTGGGTGGATTTATTTTCAAGAGAAAAGAAAATAGAGGGGTTGTTATAAAAGCAAGGAAAATAAAATAAAATAAAACAAAGCAAGGATTAAATCGATGGGAGATAACTTCTGGTTGAAGGGACAAGTTCAGCCTTGATTCTTATCATTGATCATCGATGCAAGGATAAATTCATATGTTTATGATTAGATTGGTTATAGCCATTAACAATAACAGCCAGCCTCTACTCGTTTTCTCGGCAACCAAAACAAACTCTTTGATTGCTTCTCTTATTAATAGATAGTCCTAAACAAGCTCTTAGGATTTAATCTATTAATAGCATTAAGAGGGGAGATGCCCAATTCTGGTCAGTGATCTCACAAGCTCGGACCGTTTAAACCAGATCATATATCCTCCTAACATAAATAAAAAACTTGTCCATAATCAATTTATGTTAGTTGCCACCATGATTAAACCTACCAATCATATACGAAATTGGAGGTTCAATCGGCCATAGATTATTCTCATTGAATGAGTAAGGGATCCTTCTTGCTTAATCAATAAAAATAATCCTCACAGGAAATCGCAGAAAACATATGAATATCCATAAACAATG